TATGTAAATGTGCATAATTTATACAGCACAGAGAATTTACTTTGGGGGGCTGGAATTGTTTCAGCACAGTCGGGCCTAGGCCTGACCTACTTTGTAACACGGTGGTGAGGGGGAAGCCAAAATCCCCCCACCACCCATGCAATAAGAAAAAGGAAAAAAAAAACCAAGAAAGAGAGGGAATTAGCTGGTCCTGGAGGTAAAAGCAGCAGGATCGGGAAGCGATTCTCCTCGGCCCCCATGGGAAGACGGCTCCCCCCACCCCAAGCAGGTGGGCAAAGAAAGCAGGTCTTGCTAAGTGACAGCCAGGGCCGGCTCACTCACTAGGTGAACTAGGCGATCGCCTAGAGCGGGCTGGCCCTTGGGGCACCAAATTGCACCCGGCCCCGTACTCTGAGTTTCTTGATTATTTGTGTTTTTCATTCTTCCTAAAATGCATTTATTTTTGAAAAATGGTGGGCGCACAGGGTGGGGGTGCCAGAAGGGATCCTTGCCTAGGGTGCAAAATAAGCTGGGGCCGGCCCTGGGGACAGCCCCCCCCCCCCCCCCACGCACCACGCGGCCGGAGGGAAGGCGCTTCCAACATTCAGAGGCCTGGCTGCTTGGAACAAGTTCTCTGGGAAGGAAGAACGGGAGGAAAATAGCTGACCCAGATCTAACTTTGGAGTGTGGCCAGAAGGCACCCATAAAAGGGTGGAACCTCTCCTCTCTCCCCGGAGGGCCCTCCCTGAAGATAAACACCATCACACATTCCTGCACGTTCTGTAGACTGGCAACACGAGAAGTTGCCCACAGGGAGAGCGCCATACCTAGCTTCTCTGTGGCTGCTGCCACGCAGCCCACCAATCGCAGGTGTTTCCTTTGGGGACTGAAACGGGGCTGATGGGAAGTGTAGTTCTTTGATGCCCAAACGGATTAAAATCGCATCCCTTCCCTTGAATCATCCTTGTTACTCAGACATTAAGTGGCCGTGCTGTAGGTCCATTGCATTACAAGTGTCTTGAGTCTAGATAAATGTATTTTTTTAAAAAAAATCAAATGATAACTGATTAAACAAAGAATGCTGTGTTGGAAAAAAGGGAGCCCATAGCCATAGCGAGCGCCCAGGGACTGGGAGGTCAAGGGAATAAGACACCAAGAGAGAGTGAAAAGTAACTGATTAAACAAAGAATGCTGTGTTGGGAAAAAGGGAGCCCATAGCCATAGCGAGTGCCCAGGGACTGGGAGGTCAAGACACCAAGACAGAGTGAAAAATATAGAGATGGCCTAACCAGAGGTTGTAGCAAATAAACAAGCACAAATAATCAAGGCTGGTCTCATGAACGGACTTCTCCACACAACTTGTAAGTAGTCTTTGGAACTCCCTGCCACAAGCAGTGGTGGAGGCAGGAAATTGGAACACATGAACCTGCCTTATACTGAATCAGACCCTTGGCCCATCGAGTTCAGTACTGTCTCATCAAGCAGGGCTATTTTGGGGCAGGAACGCACAGGAACGGAGTTCCGGCTGGCTCCCGAGTTGGCCACACCCAGCAGGAACTCATCAGCATAATAGGCCACACCCAACAGCAGGAACTCATTAGGACTGGCTACATTAGGGGTGTGTGGCCTAACATGCAAAGGAGTTCCTGCTCCAAAAAAAGCCCTGGGTTTTGACAAGGTAAACAGAATAAGAAGCAAAAGGTGGGTGTGGCTGGGTGACCACACTTCTGGCAACCTGGGGGGGGGCCTAATATGCCAATGAGCTGTGCTGTCATGGGTGTGGCCTGATATGCTAATGAGTTCCTGCTGTTGGGTATGGCCTATTATGGTAATGAGTTCCTGCTGGGCTTTTTCTACAAAAAAAGCCCTGCTCATCAGACTGGCCGCAGGTCTCTGGGATCTCAGGGAGAGGTCTTTCACATCACCTGCTAGATGGTCTTTTTAAGCGGAGATGCCGGGGATCGAACCTGGGACCTTCTGCATGCCAAGCAGATGCTCTGCCACTGAGCCGGGACCCAACCCCATACAACCGTCCCCAGGTAGCACCAACAAGGTTTCACAGGAGTTATTTGATTGTAACCGATTATTTTCTTCCCCTTGAACTCTGCCCTGAGAGGGGATGCGTCACTGTAGAATATGATGATTAAACTGCACCTAGGGGAAAGGATCATGGAAATCCCCACACAGTCACTCACTGGCTAAGAATGGGAGAGGTCCTCCCCTTTCCTTCCCAGCTTACCTGGGATCACCGAGGATAAAATGGGGGGGGGAGGGAAAGAGGGGGGAGAGATGTGTGCATTAAATTAGATGAGGCTCAGAACAGCCCCATCAGCACCCAAACAAAGTCGCTCCTTATCTCCCACTGCAAAAGGCTCCCAAGTTGGGGTGGGGGGGAGCTGTTCTCAAATCATTCATACACCACTAAAATAAAACTAAAAGTATACTGGATGTTGCCTGGTAGTAATAAGTGCTTTCCCCGTGAGCGTCCGTACCCCAACAGATAGATGTTAACACCCTTTCTGGACTTTACCACGTGACTGTGTGCGTGTGTGTGTGTGGGGTTATCTGCTAGAATGCCTCTTTATGTACAGAATTGCTTCCTGTACATAGGAGAGCTAGATCCAACTCCAGCAGCCCCTTAGAAACCAACAAGATTTGCAGGGTATAAGTGGGACTGAGGTTTATGGTCTCCCCAGGGACCCCTCCCTGCGGATAAACACCACCACACACCCCTGCATGTTGTGTAGACTGGCAGCACAAAAAGTTGCCTACAGGGATCTCTCCTTGTGTCGCTTCTCTGCTCTCTCAAAAGCTCATGCCCTGAAAATCTTGTGGGCGCGAACCTAGCTCTTTGACCGCAGCCCAACAGTTTCGGGACGGTAGCTAACCTTCTTGCACATGGGACATCACGCATTAAAAGAAAGCAGTTCATTCTAGCCAGAGCGTTCGTATTTCATAAGCGGGATTGACTCTGGGGGTGGGGGGGGGTGGCTATGAGAAGCCCCCCCCCATGGCCAGGATAGCCTGGCCTAGCCAGATCTCATCAGATCTTGGAAGCTCAGCAAGATCGGCCCCGGTGAGTACTTGGATGGGAGGCAATGGCAAACCGCCTCTGAACATCTCTGGCCTTGAAATCCCCATGGGGTTGCCATAACTCAGCTGTGACCCAACGGCAAAAGGGGGGGGGAGGGGAGACATGTGACTCTTTCAGCTGGGGAGCAGTCCACACTTAGATAGCTTTCAGCTACAGGATCCAGTCTTTGCCTTTCTGCTGCAGTACTGTCCTCAGGAGCCTGTTCAGGGTCCTCAGGAGCCTGTTCAGGGGCATCAGCAAAGGCAGGCATGACATCAGCAGGGGCAGGCATGACACAGAGTTCTCTCAGCCCCACCCACCTCACAGGGTGTCTGTTGTGGGGAGGGGGAAGGGAAAGGAGATTGTAAGCCGCTCTGAGACTCCTTCAGTTAGTGAAGGGTGGGATCTAAATCCAATCTCTTCTTCTTCCTCTCCTTTTCCCCTTTTGATTTGTGTGGACTTGGCTGCGGCAGCGGAAGAACAAAGTGATTCCCAGATGCTCACTGCGCTGGGACAGCTGTGCTTAATGGCTGATGGCTGGTACTTAAAGGCTACCATCGAGCTGCTGGGAGGGAGACTCGTTTCAACAGCACATAAAGATTCAAACGCCGTAACCTACGGCTTCTGATGCCGGAACTGCTGACGACGAGAAAACAGAAGGCGGTTGACAGAGCGTACGGAAGCGAGAAGACCCTGGGAGGTCCCCTTGTTAAGGGCCTTATGAGGATTTTATTTGTTTTAGGCCGGATCTGAACTTGAAAAGCCGGAGAATCTCAAACGCTAGCCCCCGCTGAGGATACATGAGACGGTTCAGATGCCACTCCTACGAAGCGCGGGTAAAGTGCCTGCCCGCCTTCATGTGAACCTGCCTTATACTAAATCAGTCTTTCGTTCCATCAAGCTCACTACTGTCTACTCTGACTGGCAGCAGCTTTCTGGTGACTCCGGCAGAGGACTTTCAGTTCCCCTGATGCCTAGTCATTTCAACTGGAGATGCCGGGGATTATTATTACTTAAATTTATGAATCACCCCATCCCTACTATTGTAGGGTTTTGGCCAATGTAAAGGTAAAGGTTCCCTTGCTCGAAAGCCAGTCGAATCTGACTCTAGGGTTGCGGTGCTCATCTCCGTTTCCAAGCCAAAGAGCCAGCGCTGTCTGAAGACGTTTCCGTGGTCATGTCGCCGGCATGACTAAACACCAATGCGCACGGAACGCTGTTACCTTCCCACCGAAGTGGTACCTATTTATCTACTTGCAATTTCTAGCTTTCGAACTGCTAGGTTGGCAGGAGCTGGAACTAGAGATGGGAGCTCACTCCATCATGTGGCACACCCGGGTCTCGAACTGCTGAACTACCGACCTTCCACAGCCTGCAGTTCAGCGTCTTAACCCCTTGAGCCACCGCAGCTCCTTTGGCCGATGTACACAGTATTAAAAACAGTATCAAAAGTACTAAAAACAGTATCAAAGAAAACAATCAAACATATTAAATTACATTAAAAAACATATGGCGAACAGTGATCCTTAAAGTTAATTATTCCCCTATTACAGACTGCCGGGCCGTTTTGCGGGCAGGGAGAAAGAGGTCGAAACGAGCATGGAAAACCGGGGAGGGTGCCGGCCGAAGTGGGAAACATCGGTGTGCTCAACCAAAAGCCTGGCAGAACATCTCTGCCTTGCAGGCCCTGCGGAATCGCACATGGTCCCGCAGGGCCCTGATGGAATTTGGCAGAGATTCCCCACCAGGCTGGGGCCAGGACCGAAAAGGCCCTGAACGTGGGACCTTCTGCATGCCAAGCAGAGGCTCTACCGCTGAGCCGCAGCACCTCCCCTCTCAACGGCCAGGGCAGACTGCTTGACGCGGGAAAGCTGAGAGCAGTGGATTGGGGAGGCGGGAAAAGAAGAGCGACGAGACGACGGCGACTCTTCCAACGATCACTGGAAATTTATTGCAAACTGACCCATCATTCATCCAGAAAAACTCAGTTAAAAATTGTCGACCAGCTCCCTTCGTTGGGTAGCTGTGCTGGAAGGCAGCACGGTTCCGGGGCCCGAAGGGCTGGGTCCCCGTGGAGGCAGATGGACAGACCCCTCCGCCCCGTGGGTTGCACCCACTTCGACAGCAGCAGAAGGCCCAGGGCAGCGGCTCCAGGCAAGGCTGAAAGAGAAAAGGGAGCACAACTGTTAGACTAGTAGGACAACAGGACAACAAAGTTGATTTTTAAAAAAAAATTGACTTAAAGTATATCCCACCCCTCTCCACAACAGGGACCCAAAGCAGATTAGTGTAGTAGCCAGTTTGGTGTACTGGTTAGGAGAACAGATTCTAATCTGGGAGAACCGGGTTTGATTCCCCACTCCTCCACATGCAGCCAGCTGGGTGGCCCTGGGTCAGTCACAAGTTCTCTCAGAGCTGTTTTCTCTAGAGCAGCTCGGAGAAGGGAAAGGAGTCTGTAAGTCGCTCTGAGACTCTGGGTGAAGGGCGGGGTATAAATCCAATCTCTTCTTCTTATTTTGTTCTCCTCTCCGCCATTTTATCTTTACTACCACCCTGCTGAGACTCCGTGACTGGCCGCAGGTCGCCCGGCAAGCCTCCGTGGCAGAGTGGGAATCCGAGCCTGGGTCTCCCAGATCCTAGTCCCAAGACTCTAACCCCGGGGTCCACAACCTTTTTGGTCCTCTGGGCACCTCTGAAACTCCGACACAGCGCGGTGGGTGCAGCCCCCAAATGGCAGCCGTCGCTGAAGCTCTGTGGTGGCACTGCTGCCAAAGCAGCGCTTTTAAACATCGGCACAGCCAATCAAGTCTCCAATGGCCAATCGGGAGCCCTGCTGGGCAAAAGCCCCACCCACTTTCTAAGAACACTCGGCGGGCAGCAAGAAAGATCTTGGTGGGCATCTTGGTGCCCACGGGCACCACGTTGGGGACTCCCGCTCTAACCAGTACACTGCGCTTCCAACCAAGTTGGAAGAAGACGTTAGAGCCCCTGCCCTAAGAGGAAAGGCTTGGGGCTTTTACGTTTCCAAGTGGTGGGCAGGCCCTCACAATAACATCACCCGAAAGCAGCATCTTGTTTTCCACTCCCGATTGAATTATAACCGTTTACACATACGGGAGACAAGTTAAAGGCCGGTCGCTGGGATAAGGGCAAGAATTACGCTTGCTTCTCTTCCCTTTGCCTCACCCTGGGTTCTGTTTTTTGATCCGCCAAGCTGAAAAGCTGATATATATTTTTAAAATCACTCTAAAAGACTTGTTTCTTGTGGCAGATTGCCTCTCAGAAGAGCAGGGAGAGGGGTGTTGTGTCTCTATGATTAAACAGGTGCAACGAGCTCCCGGAGGAGATCCGGGCCCCGCGGGACCTTGTGCAGTTCCGCAGGGCCTGCAAGACGGAGCTCTTCCGCCAGGCCTTTGAGTAGGAGCCGCCACTATCGTACCATCACTATTTTACCATCATTACCAACCGGCCCTGGGAAGAGAGAACGACAGTGTCACGTGGCACTGATTGGGTGTGCACCCTCTTTGAGACGTCATCTTTATGGAAGATTATTCTGGAACATCTAGAGCACTTAATATGTTGTAACATGATGTTGTAACACTTGGAATTCACCGCCACAGGAAGTGGCGGCGGCTACAAGCATGGACGGCTTCAAGAGGGAATTAGATGAACATATGGAGCAGGGGTCCAGCAGTGGCTATTAGCCACAAGGGATAGATAGGGGCTCTGGGGCAAGTGATGCTCTGTCTTCTTGGTGCTTGGGGGGGCAACAGTGGGAGGGCTTCTAATGTCCTGGCCCCACTGGTGGACCTCCTGATGGCCCCTGGTATTTTTGGCCACTGTGTGACACAGAGTGTTGGACTGGATGGGCCTTTGGCCTGATCCAACATTGGCATCTCTTATGTTCTTATGTAACATTGTAGTGATGGTTTTATGTGGTTTTAACCTGTTTTTAATGTGTTGGCTTACGCCTATCTGTGAGCCGTCCTGAGCCCGCCTCGCGGGGAGGGCGGGCTATACATCGAAATGATAAATAAATGAAATGAAATAAATAAGTGCACGCCCACGGTTCGCCAGGTTCAGCCTCTCTCATCACGGCGTCCCCCCCCCGCCCCCCAAAAGAGCAGACGCTGCCCTGGAGCAATGAGCGTTTGCCTCACCGGGACTCTGCCGGGGGCCTCAGATCCGCCCGCTCTCCTTGAGCTTCGCCACCAGGTCATCCACGGTCTCCACCTTGACCCCGGACTTGCGCTGGGGAGGGTCGTCCACGCTCAGCGTCTTCACCCGCGGGGCCAGGTCCACGCCCAGGTCGGACGGCTTCACCACCTCAACCTTCTTCTTTTTCGCTTTCTGGAAGGGGGTGGGGGGGGGGGGAAACACACAAGAGGGCTCCCTTGAAAGCACTGCCCGCCAGCGCTCCCTCTAAGCTGTGGAGTCTTGTGAGCAAAAGTTCTACTCTGTGAGCTACTGGCATTAAAGTTGTGAGCGAGCGATTTGGCTGCTGCATGAATTAGTTTGCTCTGGAGCCCTCCTTCCTCAGCTAAGGCAAAAATGTGTGAGCCAAGGGCTAAAAAAACTGAGCTAGCTCACACTGACTCATCTTAGAGGGAACACTGCTCAAGACGTGATCTACCGATGCATGAAACAAGACCGTTAAAAGCACAGTCATGCCATCTTTCTTGCCGGCCTTGTTCTTACATCTTCAAGTGGCAGCCTCGCATGCAGAAGTCTAGTAGATCAAGGTTTTCTGTCTGTTTTAAGCGCCGTTCCAGGAAAGTGTGTGGAAAAGCATCCGCTAAATTTCTGTGCTTCGGGCTGCCATTAGGGTATAAATAGTACCGATGAAGCAAAGGTAAGACTCCCAACTTCTTGCTTTCTTCACAATGCTAATAAAGGGATTGGAGACAGTGCCCACCCGTTTGAATCGGACAGCGGGGGAGAGGGGGGGATTTTATCCATGTCTTCTCGCTCCTGCTGACGCGCTTTGGG